GTGAAGCAGTGTCAACGGCAGCGTTCCTACGCAATCGAAGTCCGACGCAAGCAATTGGCCATGAAAAGTCCCCGCACGAGGTATGGACGAAGACGAAGCCGTTGTTGAAAAACCTGAAAGTCTTTGGATGTCACGCATATGTGCATGTGCCGAAAGAGAAGAGGTCGAAGCTTGATGCGCGATCGACGTTGTGTCGCTTCTTGGGCTACTCAGACCACGAAAAGGCGTACCGGTTTGAAGAGATATCAAGCAGTCGCATTCTAGTGAGTCGCGACGCCCAATTCATGGAAGACATGTTCGACAGCGGGAAGTGCATGCAACAAAGTGGCATCGACCCTATCGAGTATCATAACACTGATGAAGGCTTCAACGATCGTGACAACGGGGTTGCCAATGAAGACATGGATGTGCATATGCCCGAATCAGCATCGATCCATGAGCGGCCACAATGGCAACAAATGCAGCGTTCAAGTCATCAACCGCAGTATCCGCAGCATCAGACAGCCGAGTTTCTACCGGGGTCGAAAAGACATGTACGCACACAGTCACTAGAAGCTTTGTCAGAGCCGCCAATGGAAAAACGCTATGGACGCGGGGCTAGTACAAGTGGTGTGCACACATCGTCTGTGCAAGGTACTGCGTCACCACTCGAAGCCATGTCGGCGCTTCTCGCATCTATTGATGAAGAAGAAGACGAAGAAAATGAAGAAGACTGTGCTAACGTCGTGAATTCAGTGGGAGAAGCGCCGATGACATTCTCATCGGCTATGGAATCCAGCGACGCAAGACAGTGGCGAGAAGCGTGCGAATCAGAGTTTCAGTCATTGTGCAAGAACAACACGTGGGAACTCGTGCCGTTACCAAGTGATTGCAAGGCGATCAGCAGCAAGTGGGTGTTCAAGGTGAAGGAGACTGTTGATGGACTCATCGAGCGATACAAAGCGCGCCTCGTGGCAAAAGGATTTTTGCAAAAGTACGGTGTGGACTTCGAGGAGACGTTCGCACCAGTGGCCAAGTTCGCGTCGATCCGGATCATTGTGAGCCTCGCCGCGCAGAACAACCTCGTACTTCACCAGATGGACGTCAAAACGGCGTTTCTCAACGGTATGCTTGAAGAAGAGATCTACATGAAGCAGCCTGACGGATTCGTTGATGCCAATCATCCTCACCATGTGTGCAAGCTCAAGCGTGCGTTGTACGGACTCAAGCAATCCCCTCGAATGTGGAACCAGACTATTGATGAGTTCATGCGCAATATTGGCTTCACCAAGTGCGAGATGGATCACTGTGTCTACGCCAAGCGTGACGACAAGGTCATGATGTTTGTTGTCATATACGTCGACGACCTCATCCTTGCGTGCAACAACATGGACATCCTCGCAGCCACCAAACGTGCATTGAGCGAGCGATTCGAGATGTCCGATCTCGGTGAGCTTAAGTACTGCCTCGGAATAGAAGTCGAGCGAGATGACAAGTCAGGCGATGTATCGATGAAACAGACTAAGTTCTTGCGATCGATTCTGACCAAGTTCGGTATGCAAGACTCTAAGCCTGTTAAGACACCGCAAGACCCCGGACTGAAGTTGACTAAGCGTATGTGTAAAGATGGATGCAAGCACAACTACACCATGCAAGGAGTGCCATACCGAAGTGCCGTCGGAGCCTTGATGTACCTCATGGTAGGCACGCGTCCAGACCTCGCAGCTTCAGTGGGAGTGCTCAGCCAGTTTGCTGCTGACCCGTGTCCGACACACTGGCAAGCACTCAAGCGCGTGCTACGGTACCTGCAATCGACTCCTACACTTGGTATTCGTTTTATTGGCGCTGGCAATGGCAAGTTGCTTGGCTATTCCGATGCCGCCTGGGCTGGAGATACTGATACTAGACGAAGTACCAGCGGCTACGTATTTGTGCTTAACAACGGCTGCATCAGCTGGCGTAGCAAGAAACAGCGCAGCGTGGCGCTCTCGTCTACCGAAGCAGAGTACATGGCACTGTCGGAGGCGACCCAAGAAGCGACGTGGCTCAAGACGCTCATGCGTGAGCTCGGTGAAGAAGCAGGTGATGACGCTCTAACTATCTATGAAGACAATCAAGGTGCTATTGCGTTGGCCAAGAACCCAGAGTTCCACAAACGCACTAAGCACATCGACATTCGCTACCACTTCGTGCGAGAAAAGGTCGAAAAGAATCAAGTCGTGCTACAGTACTGTCCAACGCAAGATATGCTCGCTGACATCATGACCAAGGCAATCGCAGCGCCACAGTTCACCATCCTCCGTACTAAACTCGGCATCACTGTCGGTGTCGCTACCGAGTCGAGTGGGAGTGTTGTAAAAGAAGCGACTCGGCATGCAAACGGCAACCACAAGAATGTACGGTCTGATTAGTTAGGTGTGCGCCTATCCCATGAGTAATACCACTAGCGTGGATTACTCATGAGCGACTATCTGATGAGTCATGTGTGTAGAGTAGATTACTCATGTGCGGCTATCCCATGAGTAATGCGCGATATAGCGATTAGAAACGTGTAGTCGAAAAATCCAGTAGGCTTAGAGTAGCAACAGAGTTTGTGAACTAAGGACCTAAATATATTCACTTTGCATTTTGCTTTCTACAACCCAAGTGCTTTAACAACAGGAACTACTAGATACCTTGCAACCCCTAAACGGTTCAATCGATCTCTCTCCCTTTCAAGGCGCTACCTGCCCCTGCATGTGCTCGGTTAAACGGTCTAACGTGTCCTCTCAAAGTATCCCCCGTGAAGCCCGTCGGGATGAGCCAGAATAATGAGCTAGTGCACAGGAGAACGACGTAGGAATTTCCTCATAGACATATCTTAAACAATCATAAGTATTTGACAGACATTCGGATTATTAACGAACTCACGGTTCTTCGTAAGGTTTCGCATCTACGAGCTCAAAAGTGTTTCTTCACTGAGGTGAGCAGGTCTATAGTGTGCTCAGGTGAGACACATAGATCGAGTGTATCCGACTAGAGTGTTCGGTAGCTATAATCACAACCTGCAAATCGGCAAAGCTTTAGTATCTCTTCACCTAGTCTTTCTCTCCGTGGATGCAAAGGAATTGTTACAGAGAGAGAGACCCTGTGTAGCATATGACGATTCTCTGAGGAATTCCCAGTACTTTGAATATAGACTAGTAGACATTTATGAATGCATTGAAGAGTATGATGACAAGGTTTGCGATAGAGGAACTCGTGGCTGGTATCACTTCTTGGGGACTGTTCCAACTTCTATCACCATCACTTGATCGCGACAATCGTGATGCCACATATTTGTGCTGACGACGAGCCATATTGTTGATGAACACACCTCTACCTTGTAGATGTACAGATTTTACGCTTCTGAGCGTGTAGCGAGAGAAAACGGGGCAACAGGCAAATTAAACGCCACTGGCATCTGCTCCAATTGTTCAGCTTACGGGACAGGAAATGCCACGACCATTTTGGAAGTACACATTATTGCCACCTACAAAGCAAACCAAGTCAAAATACTTGAAGATAGTACTCCGTTTACGTTCAAGGTATGACATATCGCTACTAGGTGGCGTTACATTGGAGTACGCTGGATGTAGTAGCCCGTGATCTTCAAAAGCGCAACATTCCACCATTTCATTTGATGATAGAGGTGGTAATTTTTAATGGAAAACAATTGAGCTATATGAACGTAGGGGGGTTAGCTACAATCGCAGGGATATCTCACTTCACGAGGCTGTTGTCGCCGAGATTCCATGATGGCAGTTGTGACTCTGCTTTTCAACGTAAACTTTTTTTCAGTAACGGCTACGGGAAGGCGAGTCACGCGATCGACCTACCAAGGAATTGTGTCACCCAGAGAATGCAAGTGATGCAATCAGCTTTTATGCGAAAGCATTCTTCACCGCAACCTCTGCGAGAGTTCGTGTTGTAGAGCTGGATGAAAGCCGCGACGGAATGAGCTTTTGCTGCACCACGAAATCTTCGCGCAAGAGGCAGCAAATTTGTACAGAGCTAGACTAAGTGCAAGCTGAGTGGAAACATGTCATGTAGGTAGTATCTACGTCGACTTTTCATCACAACTGGTGGCCAAATGCTCCTAGAGCGGCAGCTAATTGAGCACCTGACGTCATGGAAAGATGGATAGAAACAGCAGCAACACGACGTCCCGTTGAGATCAATTTCGTTGATGACGAAAATTGCACGCAGAATGATGGGAATGGAATCTACTGCAACTTAGCAGCACAAAGTAATGATTGAGACATTCTGCAAGTATGACGTATTGGTGATAAAGGTAATGGCTCCATCGATTTGCGGCATGCAATTGACAAGAGACAACCAGTTATGGTTATTAATTCTTTGCCAATGGTAGCTCTTTCAAAAAGGACGATAGTGAACATGGCATCGTAAGGTCTTTCAACTTTGTTATTATATTCTAAAAAGTCTTAGCTATCGATCGAATAATTGATACCTACACGTCAAGAATAGAACTTGAAGTTTCCCGATATTTGATTCAAAGTGATGGGTTTCGGGGTGATTGACTCGTCGCACATGAAGACGTTTCAGATTTTGCATATTCAAGCAGTTACAACGTGAAAAAGTGTAGAGACCAACACCAGCAACATTGTAGACTAGAGCAAATTGATTGAATCGCTGATAGGGACTGCACTGGCTTTAGTGTCTTGCCAAACGTTTTCTTTCTTTTTCGGTCATGATCTCTCTGCTCCCTTTTTTTTCGACTGAACTAACGACACTTTTTGCCGCCTCCATGCTGGCGACAAAAAAATGCACTTAAATAATCGCAAAATAGTACGCGAAAAAAAGAATACCAAACTCAAGATAAATACGGTCAGAGAAGGGGGGGTCAGTATAAAGTGGGGGGCGTGTGCCCTAATCCCCTCTGTTCCCGTCGTCTGCCTTCCTTCTGGCACTCTCTAACCAAGCGACGACCGGCGTGTCTTCATTGTCTCGCCGTCTCGCCTCGTCGTCCTCTGGTGTGTGCAATGGCATCTACAGGTAGAGTACGAATTGCGGTAAAGGGTTCCACCATTTACGACTCGTATCCGCTCAGTCTGCGCACGTTCCTCGCGGGCCCGTCGCCAGCTTTTGCACACGCTGTTCCGCATTCAGGCGAAGACCCAACAATGACTATAGACGACGATGGCGACTTTCTTCGTACTTTACAGCATACGTCCTCATCTGTGAATGATACTATTGACCTGAATGACGGAGTGATGGTAAAGCTGTTATTTCTTTTTCTTTTTTGCCGGCAATCCATGGAACAACTGGCTCATTCATTCTCTGTGTTTTTTTCCTTCTTTTTCTTCTTTTTTTTCCAATGGCAGAGATCAACAACTACCCCTGACCCTACGGAACTTTGCAGTACATTTGGCAAACTTCGCAAGGAAATTTTTGAAACAAAAGAACGTTCAAAGGTTTTAAGTGCATTACGTCATCGTGGTAAAGCGGCAAAAGATGCGTCCAATATGAAACAACGAGTACCGATACGTCCAATTGCTTCGTCTACATTTACAGCTGATGACGTACTTCGAGCTGGTACACTTACTAAACAAGGAAGTTGGCGTCGGAACTGGAAATTGAGGTTTTTTATCTTACGTAGTGATTGTCCGAGTTTATGCTACTTTCGGTCCGAAGACAAACTGGAACTATTAGGTGAAATTCCTATCACAGAAGACACAATTGTATTGGATCGTAGTGGGGGTGGCCACGCTCCGTTTCGATTTCAGATTCGATCGGATGCTTATACACTTCTTCTTGAAGCAGAAAGTCGAGAAATACAAAAACGATGGATTGATTCGTGCCAAGAACTTGCAGATGCAATTCGAGCTTCGAAATTTTCTGTTAATGCGAGTTTTTCCAATACTTTTGATACGAAACGATCGTCACTTGGAAGAGGAGGAACAACAGCTGGTTTCAGACCTACTGATATGTTGGAAACAAGTGCTTCGTCTCAGATCTGGGACGAGACAGAAAGTAGTACAGTCATGGACGGAACTGAGCGACGTCTTACAGGCAGTAGGGCCAGTGGTTCTACGAGATCAACGACACGACAAGAAAAAAGGACCTGTCAACTCTATGATTTGTCCATCTCGGTACTTATGGGTCGACGTAGCATCTTGGCTCGTTCAGTTGAACATTTGGACAAGGACAAGGATCGTACAAGCTGTTTTGTGGCAGTAAGTGGCTACATTCGCAGCAGTAAGACGTTTGTGGAACTTGGAGCAACAGATGCAGTCAAATTAACGACATTAGTTGCTGCTTGTGGCGCAGCTTCAGGTGCAACAGGAGAACAAATTCCCGTGCCGTTTTCTATCGTTATGACTGCAGAGCTTGAACGTTACGATCAATTGCGGCTGACGTTGTGCAAGTCGCAATTGACACAGAGTCCAGGGAACAGCCAAGGAACATTTGGAATGGGTCGTTGTTTACTGGATGATCAGTTGCTTGGCTCAATTCCTTGTGCTGTACAAATCACAGAAAGCAGTAGCATGTCATCGAGAGACTCCCTTGTAGCCAATACTCCAATCCCGCAGCAGAAAAAGCTGAACACTGGAGAGCTTACTAGGCCGCTGCCGGTGGGAACTGGATCGCTGCCGATTCTTGCTGCTGACAGTGGCAGCGTCCAGTTGGTGGTGCAGGCATTTCGCTCCGTGCCGCCACAAAATGTGCTCCCCACGACAGGGGTCGACATGGCTAATGCCAAGTACCTTATTCCATCAACACTAGCTCCTGGTCGGGAGACTACTGGCAACATGGCAACCGGAACGCGTCTCGACTTAGCTGGTGGCACCCGTGGCAGCGACATGCGTACATTTATGGAAAACGACACTTTTCTCTCGAGTATTGGGTTGTGCACGTTGAATGAGGCTCCTAGTGGTAACCTTCGGTTCGTGGCAGTGGACGAGATTTTACGTGTACCGCGCAGCACATTTGCATTGCCTGTGGCGTATTTGGATTTTCTCGAGGAGCAAGCGTTAGAGCGCTTTCGGTGGATACAGAAACGGTTGCAGTCTAAGGCTGTTCACCCGCGCGACGATGAGCGACTTAACATGGAGCTTGAATTCTTGCGTAAAAAGCAGGAGGAATATCTTAAACAGCGCCAGTTCCTTATTCAGCAGGAAAAGCGATTACTGGACGAGCAAAAAGATGGTAAATTCTTTTTGGCGGCTAAACGCGCAGGCATGGTCTCAGCAAACGAAAGAGAAGCAGTGGCAGCAGCAAACTCATCTGTGGCAATTTCAGCATCAACGGGAGGTGGAGAGATCATTGAGGCGGTGGCTCCATTCAAGCGTAGCACGTACAAAAATTTGAATCTTTGGCAGTTTCTGCCTACCAACATGCAGGACCAATTCCTCTGCACGTATAAACCACCTACGCAGAACAATCAATGCCGCAGCGAAGCTAGTACACCTCTTTCGTCGCGGCCATTTGTGTGGCATACGATGACTATGGGCTGTCCGGCTGCTCACACTAAGGGTTTCGCTAATGGCGGCTTTCCAGCTTCGGTTCCTATCATGACCGTGTACCCTACCGGTCCAGCAGAGGATGAAATCCTAGACAGCAACTATGAAGGCGATTTTCAGAGCCCGACATCACCGTCCTCCAAAGGAGGAAAAGGCAATGGGACGGCAACCCAAGCATCACCAGGTGATGATTCTTTGGCTGCGTTAAAGCTACGTCTTGAGCTACAGGACCGTTTGACAGTAATTGGTAGTCAAATTTTGTCTGCTACAGCGGCTTGTATCCTTGCCTCGCTGGATCTGGCGCTCAGCGGGAGCGCTCTGCATCAAGCACAAATTGACCGTGCCCCAACGTTTGGTTTTCTCATGAATTTTGAGTCGCTGTTGAGTACACAAGGCAAAGAATACGGTATGCTCGAGGACTTTGCTGCTGGGGCACGATGGTTGCGCAACGTATTTATCCAGTTCCGTCGGCACGTGGTGACGGGTACCTTCTTTTCATTGAGAAAGTATTCTCCACCGGGGTCCCACGCGAACGATAACAACTGCTTGCTGCTGACCATGGGTATCGATGAAAACCACATGTCCGTACTGCCACAGTCTCTAGCCTCGGGCGATGACGTTGTCCACGTGCGTTGCGTGTTGTTCTCCCAGGGAGTGAACGAGAAGCAGAGTCTTGTGCATGCTTACAAGTCTAGCGCCGTCAAGCTCCAGGAGCGCATCAACCATGACAACCTGTTGGAACTGAAGCGCATTTATTCGTTGTATCGACAATTACGGTCCGACGAAACCGAGAACCGTGTGCGCGAAAGCCGTCGACTCCGAGCGAACAATGGAATGAAATATGCTGCCACCAGTGACGCCGATGAAGCTGTTATGGCTGTTGATCGACACGATCTCCAAGCTTTGGATGATCTGCTGGATCAAATTGAGCATCACATTTGTTCACCTACGAGCCAGTACAAGAAAAATGTGGCACTGCTGATGGATTCCTCAGACTTTTGTAGAGCTCTAGGGGGTGCACGTGTTACGTGTTGCAAAAGTGGCAAGGATCGGACAGCAATGTCAGTGACATTGGAACAGGCGAGATTATTGTGTGCAGAGCTTCAAGCGTCTCAAGGTGCTGCACTATGTGCTAACATGCGACTCTATGGTGTACGTCGTCGCAACGTTTTAATGAACACCAAAGCCGACAAGTTTGCCTTCAATGAGATGCAACGGAAAATGCTGCCCGACTGTTACAAACCACCAGTGGGTACATACAAATCTGGCAAGACATGAGGAAAGGATCAAGTGCAGATAAAAAAAAGTGAAGTGGACGAAGAATCATAGTGGGGATCCCCTGGTTACGCTGGGGTATTAATATTTAGGTTGACCAAATCAATTTGTGCTTGTAAATAAATACCGTGTCCATTAAAAGAGATCGAGTGATCATATAGAGGGAGGATCAGTGTACTTACTTAGCGTGTGGGCCACACTACAAGGAGTTTTTTGTTCCGATCTTCTTGCAGTTGAAGGAAGTAATAATCGGTCTTATTTATAACCACTCATCGTTCATAGTCACCTTTTGTCAAAAGCTTCATTAACCATCAAGACACCGGTTTCTTAATCCTTGATACCGGTATCTCTCCGTGGTCCTCAGGCCTCTTAAGTATTATTATCATAAGCCAGTATGCCTCGTCGTCGGGGTGTTCCCAATGCGTCTGTTAGTGACGATACGCGTCGTGAAGTGCCATTACAAGCAGTTTTATTTGCTGATTCATTCACTGAAACATTTCGTCCAATCACATTAGATTTCCCGAAAGTATTACTTCCTCTAGCGAATGTACCAATCCTTGAATATGCACTGGAATTCCTCGCAGCTTCAGGTGTTCAAGAAGTGTTGCTCTTTTGTACTCGTCACGTGGAACAAATTGAGACTTTTATTGAGAACAAGTCACAAGTGGTACAACGTCTGGATGTCACTTGTGTCAGTAGCCCCAGTTGTCTCACAGCTGGTGACGCATTGCGTGAATTGGATCGACGTCAATTGGTACAGAGTAATCCCTTTGTTCTCATGAGTGGGGACGTTGTAGCCAATGTTGATCTGCAAGCAATTATTACCGAACATAAAAACCGTAAGAAGGCGGATCCGAATTGCATCATGACGAGCATTTTTAAGGAATTACGACCCAATTTCGCGACAAGTGTTCGACCACTGAATGATGAGTTGATTGTGGGTATTGATGCCAATACATCGCAGCTCGTGCTGTATGAAGACGATCCAGAGCAGAGGAGTACGAGATTGGCTACCCTTTTTCTTGAAGATCACGCGCAGATTGCGCTACGAAGCGATCTACTGGACTGCTACATTGACGTGTGTTCACCTGAAGTTTTACTCAAGTTTGCTGAAGATTTTGATTATCAGGACTTGAGACACGACTTTTTGCATAATGAAGTGCAAAATTACGAACTAGGTAAAAAGTTCTTTGTCAAGGTCGTGACGGACGAGTTTGCAGCCAGAGTGATGGATCCGAGGACGTATGCGGGCGTCTCACAGGCTATTCTGCAACGCTGGGTATTTCCCATGGTACCGGATGCAAACTACTTGGGTGCAGGTTCGGTGACGCACTATGTGTACTTGCGGGGTATGCGCTACAAGGATGTTAATGTGACGCTTGCAAGGACTTGTGATGTGCAACGTGAATGCATATTGGGAGCTGGAACGATTATTGGAGATCACTCACGTGTGCGTAAGAGCGCCATTGGTAAGAACTGTGTAGTCGGCGAAAACGTGACTATTGAAGGCAGCTTTTTGTGGTCGAATGTGGTGGTGGAGGACGGTGCAATTGTGACCAGCTCCATCTTGTGTGATAACGTGGTGGTAAAACGCGGTGCAGTTATTGGGGAGGGCTGTGTATTGTCGTTTGGTGTTGTTATTGGCGAAGGGTTTTCGCTGCCACCATTCACAAAGGTGACAAAGAGCCTCGTACAGGTGGAAGACGACGAGTTCTTCTCCGACAAGGATGTGGAATGTTTGGCAAAGCAGGAGAAGCTACTTACTATTAGTGCGCTTTCTCAGTGGAATCCGAAAGAAGTTGGTGTCGGTGGTGCTGGCCGTATCTGGACTTTGGATGAGGACGACATTGAAGTGGATTTGGACAGCGACGACGAGGACGGTGATGAGGACGAGGTGAAAGCAAAGAAGCAGGCGTGTCGTCTGGAGAAGCTTAAGAGCACTCTCATTGGCGCCAATGATGTAGTGTCCAAGAAGATGCGCCGCTGGGAGGAATGGGATCTACTTAGCTCTTCTGAGGAAGAAGACGATGATGAGGATGACCTGCTGGCGAAGGCCAATGCGACCGCTCTTGAGGTGCCTTTCCAGCAGATTATCCGTGAAAACGTGTGCACCGGTGACGCGGCAGGACACAATGTGGACGATCTATTCATGGAAATTAAGAGTTTTAAGTTTGCGCAGAACCGATCGTTTGCCGAGGTGATTGGTGCCATCGTGCCGGGTCTGTTAGATCTAATCCCAACGTCCAACGGACAGTCAGCAATGACCATCTTGGGTCATGTACGAACGAAATTTCAAAAGTGGAGCTCGGTGATTCAGCGTTGCCTTGTAGAGCAAGAAGACCAACAAGCTGTAGTGGATGCTCTAGAGAGCTATTGTGCGGCTCCAGAGGAACGTCGTGCATTGTGGCTGCCGTTATTCCGCTTTTTGTTGCAGACTGTGTATGATCTAGAGTGGGTAGGAGAGGACGTGATTTTGGAATGGCATGAGGCCAAGGCTACAATGGCAGACAAGGAAAAAAGTTTTGATGCACTTGCGACTGCATCGAATAAGGACGTGCAGGAGTTTATTGATTGGCTACGGGAGGAGTCCGATGATGATGATGACGACGACAGTGAGGCCGAAGACGACGAGTAAAGTCATTGTTTAGTGATAAAAATACAAGTCGTCAGCATCAAATATTCGTGTACAGATATCTTAACATTCTAATTCAAAGTGACAATTGCAAAAAGAACTGATTTAAGTTATGATTACTGACACAGTGTTGGAAGTCCCAATCTTTTCCTTTTCAAATTGACATTTTGTGTCTATCAATTACGTTTAAAATCTGGGATGCGAGTGTCAGTTACAAACAGCTCGCAGTTTCTCAATACATGAAACGGTCGCAGACAAAGGGCGGCCTATAAGGACATAAATAATGGTACACGTCTGCTGCTATACTGCATCAGCATAGCCGGGCAATATCAAGAGCGTGTGGCCAGCCTCATAGAATCACCCGAATAAACCAATCGATCGAGCACCGGCACCAGACATCCTGTAATACCTTAAACAGTTACATAGACTCGTCTGTTTCTCTCTATAAAGATTAGGGGTGAGGAAGTACGTTTCACATTCTCTAACCTGCACCGCTTATGTCAGATATATTCCTGTTAAGGGGTGATCCATCGACGGTACGACATCTATTCCTAGCTCAAAAGTATGTAAAATTCGAAAGGTTTTGTTTCCCCATCTCCTTTGACCGTAAACTTTTTTCTGCTTCGAAAATACGGAAATCATTCTTTCAATTGCTTTGAATCAGCCAGGAAACTTCTACAATCTTCCCAAGCAGCAAAGATTATTTTTGCAAAAAGATTTTTCAGTCGAGCTTCAAGTAGATCGATAGAAAGTCATTCCTCAATTCGCCCTTGAGTCTGTCTGTCTACCTACGTCTATACAGTATATCACTTTAAAATTGAAAACCTCATGTTTTGGTCAGCTGCATTGGATCTCAAAACACAACGTCCACCCCCTCGACCTTCTTATGGTTCATTTAATCGTCTGGCCAATACAAGCAGTTTTCGTATACCTCAGAGTATTCCTGAGCATCAACCAGTTTCCCAATTTACATCTCCAATACCAGCTCGTATCGAAGAATATTATGAACGACCGGATACGGCTGTTGCACGTACACGGGCATCGCTACAGCTCTCGGAACATACACAATTAGCACTTAAGTTGTTGCTACAAGGCGAACGTGACTCGAAATCCAAGTCGAGTACTACTACATTATCGAAAAGTAAAGTGAAACGTGCTCCAGAGATGAACAAGATCAGTCATTACAGTGCACGACGGACGCCAAGGAAGGAATTACCAGAGCGAACGCCATTGTTGAAACCTCTTGCACGTGTTTATGACGAGGAAGAGTTTACTCCTCAGGAGAATAGCAATGAACATAACTATTGGATGCAAGAACTAGAGAAACGACGTGCTGGAACGAAAACAAGTAGACAAAGGATGTGTACTACCATGTCGGAAAGAGCCACGACGTCACCTCTCAAGGTAGGCGTGGTCATGTGCTCTGTGCCACTAGTGTTAGTACTGGGCTTCGTTCTCTTTGTGATGCTATTTGGAGATGGATCAGACGTGTCTACCAACGTGACAAGTGCTATGAGCAATTTACTGGGCTTTGGTGGAGATGCAGATACCATGAGAGCGAGATATGACACCGATAGGATTGCTAGAGCTTTTGCTTTTTCGCCCGAGACAAATCAACTGGAAAAAGAGAATCTCGTGCTGACGCTGGCCTTGCCGGCGGAACAGACGAAGTTACGCGGCTCACTGAAAGAGATCGCGGGACGGTAATAAAGTGAGTGCGTTCATTAATGTATGACTAAGCAAAATGATAGGTACAAGAATGGCTAGCTCAGTGCAAAACGAGCTGAGCTCTCTTCGTGAATGGGTCTAACAGCCAACAAGCGAGACAGCCACCAGCGTCTGAGTTGTAACAGTTTCAGAATGCAAAAATGCCTCGTTCTACACAAGATCTGCTCTACTTGCTACCCTTACGTCGTAAAGAAAAGGTTGAGCAGACCTTTGAGGTACGCGATGATCTCACCGGCACCCAACTTTGATTCGCCATAGATACGATCCACAAAAGTGATTGGCACCTCTGCAATCGAGTACTGGCGTTGACGAGCACGTACGAGAATTTCCATTTGGAAAACATAGCCCAGACCCTGTATGGCGCTCATAATGTCCTCAATGACGTCGCGCTTGTACAGTCGAAAGCTACCCGTAAGATCCGTCACGGACGGGTTCAGCAACACCGTTGCTAGATAGTTGGCCACCCTACTCGTCAGCTTACGACGCACGTCCCATCCATACACCTGCACAAAACAGAGCACCATTTAGTTCTATAAACGCAGTTAAGACATCCATCTTAGCAGCAGTAAGAAAAAGGTAGAACGTACACCACCGCCCGACACGTAACGTGTCCCTGTGACGATATCATAGTTATCTTCTGCCTGTTTTCTATAGACATCAGCAACGTAGTAGCATCACAGTCAGCATCAAGTGACAAGAAATGATAACGTCTTTTCCATGACGTACTTGATAAACTCTGGAATAAACTTTGGCTACATTACAAACACAAGTAATTCAGTCATTTTGGACATTCATTAGTCCCTAAATTGTCGTGAAAAAGCCACGACGTACATGGTGTGAAAGATCAGCGTCCATGAGGAATACAAAATCTCCTGTTGCCTTCTTCAGACCGTCACGATACGCCGATCCCAGTCCTAATTTGCCTTTTCGTGCCAAAATCACAATCTTCTCTTTACCGTAAATCTTCTGCAAGTCTCGAGCCACCTGCAATGTCCCATCTGGACTATTGTCCTCTACAATGACAATCTCATACTTGAGTTGGCTACATTAAAACAGCAATAAAAACAAATTAAAATGAGCTTATATGAAGATTTAAAAGTGTCGTCATGATATCAGCATTATGTAAAGGCTACAGAGCGAGTTACAGCACAAGAATTGCACGTACTTGTCGGTGAATGTCTTATCTAGCAGCCACACAATTAATGGCAGATTCTCCCGCTCGTTGTACGTCGGTAGAAGCACTGAATACGTGTGCTTTGTTGCCATTTTGACCCGTGTCGACTCGTTTTGGTCGTTTATACTTTACGTAAGCCACATAATGACAGTAATACCTAATTTTTGAGTAAAAGCCGAAAACATTTTAAAACCATATAAATTCAAGATGGCTACATTTTATCTGACACTAAAAGCATGATATAGTTCACGAGGAATCAGAAAATGCCTTCCACGCGATGAATGGGTCATCAAACGGCACAAGGTCGAAACAATTACGTGGTCAAGAAATAGAGTGATATCAGCGAATGGAAGTGGGATTCCTTGTGGAAAACGACGGCTGAGCTTATGTGACGATGGGGTTCATGGAGACAGGACATGAGCTACTGCATTCTCCTAGCACTCTTCTCCTTCTGGCAAAGCATTTACTACTCTTTTCTAGTATCAGATCTCAACGTCGAAACTCATTCATCGAGCATCACCCTCTACTTAATTTGTTAGGTTTCATGAGCTTAGCTTCTCGGTGAGCTGCTTGTTCCTACTTCAGTCGTCCGTCAACAACACATCCAGCTCAGTTAAGCAACCGACTCGACTATTCCTCGTCTTCATCGTCGTGTAGCGACGCCCAAGCATTCTTGGTCTCAACTGCCTTGGCATTGGGTGCCTTCATACTCTGCAACTGAGCTTTAGCTGCATCCACACCAAGTGACGGGAATGCACGTTCATTATCCAATTGGATACGACGGTTCGACCGGTTCCGTTGTTCCTGTTCAGCCCATGTCGTAGCAACTGATTCCTATTGGAATAAACCATACGAACTCAAGCTTAAAAACTGATTCAAAAAAATCACTGGCAAACAATTGAGCTCAACGACACGTACCTTTTCGTCCGAATTTTTGTACTTTTTAGGCTGTTTTGCCCATTGAAAAGCCGTCTTTTCCGACTCATTTTCCTTGTTTAACGACAAATCCGATAGCTTTTTACCAGACGCTGAAGCAGTAGACGCCAATGTCGTCTGTGATGTGGATGCAGGTATCTCTGGTGTTGCTGCTGCTGCAGCGGCAATAGCAGCACGTTCAATATTCTGTGCACTGGTCTTAACAATTACATTTGCATTGACAGTTGTTGATTTTTTCTTCTTCTTCTTGCCAAATAGAGAATTGAGTTTCGCATTCGCATTCGCCATGAGTCGACGAGCTTATATGTATGGGTGGACAGAATACGGATGGGGCTGCTTTTGTGATGTATGAAACACTAAAGTGGGATGTCCATTTTTTAAGGTCGGAACGAAAGAGCGCACTTAATCAGAGTAAATTACATAAGACTCTCGAGCAAATCAGATATATTCTTTTTTTTAGGTTTAGATCGTCTATTTCTATGGTGTTAATCTATGTGCTAGGGTCAATGATCTCCTCATTGGCGGTGTTGAGTTCAATTCTGTCCCGATGGGTAAGTTCGGAGATGAAAGCAGGAGAGCTGTTGCTTACCGTTAGAGTTTTGCGTCCGAATGGGGGCCGGGTTGGTCTTGAGGTATTGGCCCCGTACGCATGACGTGTCTTTGTTCAAGAGAGCAGTCCTCAATCCTGTTGTACTTGGTCCTGGATAGCATGTTGCCGCCTTGATGGAGTGCAAATCCATGGGTTCGCACTTCCTTGAGAGATGGCCCTGACAGCTGAATTGCTTCCAGCATATCATCATACCCCCAGCAGTCTTTGGAGAAAAGGATCATAATCACATCACCAATCCATCCCCGTCCCATTCATTCGAGTGAAGCCGTCGAATGAGCGTGGCTCCATGAGGTCATCTAGTCTTGTTGGTCTGTTGTTGGGGCAAACCGTTCTCCCAGCTCTTGCTTTAGCTCCTACCACTAACGAGTGTTCCCGGTAAGGCGGTGCCCGTAGACTGCTTCATAAAGCCCACATCCGCCATGCAGCAAAGTATTTCTTCGTTTTCTGAGTAAGTCAAGCAATCGCATGCTTTGTGCGTTGTGTTTTGACCACTACTGAAACGACCGCTATAGCCCGATCGATGCCTCCCGCTTGTTTTGGCCCAAGATTCACTTTGTGGCGACTGCTTTCCATCATTGTCGCAGGCGCCCATAGGCAGTGCTTGTATATATTGTTCATTTTCCCATATCAATTGGGAATATATTCGAACTAGAAGGACGTTGCAACCGAGATAAAATTCTCGTGGTGCGTGACAATTTGACAGTAGATTATGTCGTCTTCTTTTTATGGCGTTTCCAAATCATGCACGTTGTTGTATAGTGTAAAATTGTGTCGATGACGACACTTTTCGTGTCGCCATGGAATCGCAGATAGTACATCAATGCGTTATTGTATCTTCCCAGCTCTTACAGCCAGCATAATAAGCATAGCATGGACGCCATTTCGACCCATAAATCGTCCAAAAAGGGTATTCATGTCTTCATAAGTTACACCATTTGACAAACAACAAAAAGGACTTTTTAATCAGAAGCTCACTTCTTTATTTGATCTCAATAAGACACACCCACCCACCCACACGTCCAGCGTAACATCATCATTCCTATTCAAACGATGACTGGAGCTTCAATTGTCACGAAATCTTGTCTCTTTTGCGGTAAAACCAATGCTAAAAACCGTTGCGGTGGCTGCCGTCGTGTTTACTTTTGTGACCGTAATTGCCAACGTCAGAGCTGGCCAAGGCATCGCTCCCTTTGTCTTCCTTCTTGTTCGACCAAGTCGTTGACTATACAGTCGAATAGTATACAATCTATTACTATACCTGATGCTACAGCTGTGTCACCTTCTAAGAGTGTGCGACTTGTCACGAAACCCGTGCAAGTCGTGGAGATTCCAGTCGAGTCTACACCAGCAGTAGCAGCTCTTGAGCAGTCAAAGCACCAAAAGATGAGTAAAAAACACAAGAAGAAGCGGAAAACACGGAGTAAAAGTATGCACGTGGCCTCTACAAGTGTCTTGATGAACCAAGAGATGCAGCGGAAGAATCGTTCAGCTTCACTTGGTGCCAAAAAGCACATTATGTGGGGTGGGGTATCGGTGAGAGAGTTTGCCCGTTTTCCAGGTGGTGGTGGTGCTGTGCCCTATGACGGCACGTGGGCTTTAGGCCTTGGTACGAAGGTCGCAGATGTTGAGCTTGGGAGTGTTTTGGAGGTTGAACAAGTACGAGAGCAGGTATTGCAGGAACGAGCCAAGAAATTGTCCAAATCTAAACGTCGTGACGTTCGTGTGGGTGAAACTCGTCAATTTGACTATCAACGCGGAGTAGAGAACCCTCTCTTTGCACGACTGAGTGAAGATGAACGCAAAGAGGTTTTTATGCTGGAGAAACAGGCCCAGGAAGAAGGAGCAATTGAAATACAAATGTCCTTGTCTCATGAGACGAGGAAATCGGGCCGAAAATACTCGACTGGATCGACCACGAGTCTCGAGTCTATGGAAGAATTTCAATTAGCCGATGCAGCGCTAACTACGCCGGACTTTGGTTGTGTGTCCATTGAACAACTAGAAGAGTTTGCCAAGATCCGCGACTCTCGCGATGGTGCGTGTGGCTGCTCCTGTGGTGATTTGGTCAAAAAGGTGGCCAAGATGAACGTAAAAAAGTTACGTGCGTTTTTGCAGGAACGCAATATTCCACTGCCTGGCACGGGTAAGACGGAGTTAATGGCTGCGGCAAAGAAGGTGGCACGCGAGCAGAAAAACTGCCAGAGCGCCGACTCGGACTGTGAGTGTGCGCGCAATGGGGTGTCATGCCACTCGGACGTGTGTGAAGGCTGCGCTGGCGATTGCTACAATCCATTCCAGCGGTACGAGTACAAGAGCACCAAAGTGAAGCAGTATCGTAAGGAGCAGCTCGCCAAGTGGCAACAGTCTCAGTTCGAACTCCAGCAATCGAACGAAGTGGCTACACCCGTCCGTGTTACTTAAACATACAAGAAAGCAGCGAAGAGGATTCGTTAAACCACCGTCGTGCTTGTCATGTTCTTGAATATGAAGAAATGGATAAAGATAAAATGTAAACCCCAAAACTTTGAAGTATGACTATGCATTGAAAGCACTCGTCACACATTATTGCCAACAACTATGCTGCTACATGCAAAATCAGAGCGATCGAAGCAAGGTTGTCAAGATAAAAACCCAATTTCCAGTAGTCTAGTCAAACTCTACTCTTCAATCGAGCGAGAATCATACCTGACCTATCAATCTTACAACTCGACTCTGCTGCTTTAACATACTGGCTCAGCTCTGCATCTCTATGCAGAAAGGCTTGACTGAACCAAACAGTTCACGCGGCAGCATAGCGATATGAGAAACTAGCCTACAATTACCGTCGTCGCGAGAAAATTCTGCGGGCGCCGCGGCTACCGGGTTGACTGCTGGGCTGTGTTGCACGTTTGTTGCGGCGCTTGTAGACGGCAATCTGGTCGTCCACGCGAATGCCCCACTGCAAGTGCTCTGCCTTCGCAGCGGCACTCAGAAACAAGTTCAGCTTCTCCGCACGCTCACCAATCGTTTGCTGCGAAAAGTTACCCACAAGGTGACGGTGCGGCAAGTCCGGAATGTCACGGCGTTTCATGCCGTTTTCCTTAATGAGGCGGTCACACAAGGAGCTGCACAATAAAGTATAGACAAGCACATTAGAATCGCATTACACCAGCCACAACACGATAGAAGTATCACGTACCGGAAGGTGCTATAACGTTTCCAGCAAAACACCGTGCCATAATTCGTTGTGCGGATTTCCAACTTGTACTGAATGAACTTGCTACCCGTGCGGTTTACAATGCGGCTATCAACGATGCGAGCCGAATCAAGACCGATCTCATCAGGAACTGCAATAATAAACAAAACGCAATCAGTAAGACATCCACCATCATTTTCCATGAACAGTAGGCAACGTACTTGGCAACGACGCATCCTCCACAATCGCACGCTCTTCCTCTTCCTCCACGTGCAAAACAACATCCTTGACCTGTACGAACGCCAAAAACTGATTGTCGTCCGGTGCGCCGACTTCAGTGTTGATAGCGTAGCATCCAACGTGTGGGTCAAGACCCACTACCTCACCCGTGCCAAACGGCGTGTCCACCTTGGTGCGTGGAGATAGAATACGTTTGTCATCAAGGTTGACGTCACCAATTGGCACAGTAATCTGCATGCCGCCCATGGACTTGTCCAATTCGACAGCATACGTCTCGCGCTGCTTGTCGTAACTTACGATACGGCCCGGGCCACGCTGATGCACGACCACCGGCACGTCCTTTGACAGCGATTGCGCATACTTCTCATTCTTCTCCTGCTGAATGCGCTCCTGGTGGATACGCTCCGCCTCCTCCTTGGCAAGCTTGGCAGCGAGAGCCGCTTCTGCGCGTTTGCGCTCGCGTTTTTCACGCTGCAGTTGCGCACGGCGCTCCTCTTCCGCACGAAGACGCTTCTCTTCGGCTTCACGCTCAAGACGTTCCTCTTCCTCGCGAGCCTGAGCAGCGAGGAAAGCAGCCTTCTCCTCTTCTGCGCGAATGCGTTCCTCTTCAGCAAGACGTTTCTCTTCTTGAAGCCGCAGTCGTTCCTCTTCTTCTTCACGAACCCGTTTCTCTTCCGCAAGACGTTCCTCTTCTTGAAGACGCAGTCGTTCCTCTTCTTCTTCACGAACCCGTTTCTCTTCAGCAAGACGTATTTCTTCAGCACGAATGGCCTCCTCTTCAGCCAAACGAGCAGCTTCCAGAGCAGCCAATCGCTCTTCTTCCGCCTTGCGTTCAGCCTCAACCTTTTCAGCAGCACGACGCTCTTCCTCCTCAATAAGACGGAGCTCTTCAAGCCGCAAAGCTTCTTCTTGTTGACGACGACGCTCTTCCTCAGCTTTCTGCTGCTTGACAAGTCTTTCCTCTTCTCGCAGACGCTCTGCTTCCTTCTGAGCAGCCAACGCCGCAGCTTTGCGTTCTTCCTCAAGACGACGACGTTCAGATGCCGCTTCTGCCTGCTTGATGCGAATCTCTTCTTCCGCACGACGTTCATTTTCAATCTGCTCACGACGTAGACGTCTCGATTCTTCAACCCGAGCATCATAGGCAGCATCATTCAGCTCTTTCGCTGCCCGTTCTTCATCCGTAAGTTCCTTGAGCACATCAGCGTCACGTCGGACTTGATCCTGTCGTGCTAGATTGGCCATATATTCAGCCCCGTGTTTTTCCCGTAGTTTTCGAACGGCAAAAGCACGTCCGAGACTCTGAACTTTAGTCGCATTCTTGTGGACATAAGCCATGGTCTTTGGACGATGTAAATACCAAAATTTGACGGCTGCTTTTGAACTCATGATTGTCTCTAGATCCAATGGTCGTAACTCGGTTTCATCGGATTGCATGGCTTTATGTGTAGCTTCATCTCGATGAAGAGCTTCATGATCCGTTCGTACATGGGACTCTCGTCCATCATTTGGTTTCCAATACGACGAATACATTGAAAACAGCTACTTGAAAACCCTGTTGTTTTCTTCTTCTTCTTTTTCTTCAAGACTCGATCGATACGAGTAGAGATGAAAAATGTGCGAGTAACTTTCGAGAGAGAGAGAGACAATGGAAAAAGAACAAACTAATGCCACAAGAACGACGACAAAAAGTTTTGTCAAGACGTGGGGTAGTGCGTCCGTCCGTCACTGGAGATACGTTTTGACTACTCTATATTTGTATGCAGAATGAAACCCACCCTTTTACAATAGGACTGACTCCCCCTTTTGGCTGCTTTTTTTTGTTCCGTAGAGCTCCAGCTCGTGGAGTTCTTAGCCAAGAAAGTGAGATTACTTACAACGAGATCTTATTTATGTACAGAGCTTTAGAGTTACCAAGCAGATAAACAACGTCATGACCTTTGTACGGCAAAGAGTTGAGATATATATATATATATACTATCAGCATATAGATTTCTTGCACCAACATGGTCTCTCTCTACATGTTTGTAATGTGTCCTCCGTTATGAACATGGAATGCTCAATAGCAGCTTTGTTGTAAAGAAAGCGTGTCGTCTGACGACACTTGTCTTGTTGTAATCATCAGCGAGTCTAGTCTGTCCACACTCGACTGTCGACCTCGTGACGGGAGGGATAATCAATAGCTTTGTTAGCGAAAGGATCATCAAACAATCTGTAGCTTGTAACCGCATCTTCAATAGTGAAGCTGTCAATTGAAATGCAACTAACAACGACGAATTAGTCGTGCGTTTCGGCAACGAGACGAGATGTCAGAGGCCATTTCATGACACTTTTGCTGCTAACAATGTGACATTGATCGCGCAACGCACACAATGTCGCGCTTCTCATAGTCAACGCACAAATGGTCTATACAACAATGAGATAGAGTCTTGAATCTTGCAGTATATAGAGCTAGTACATCGGTTGCCATTGCACCATAGCGTCTGATCGTTGCAGTCCCTCCTTATGAACATGGAGCACCACTGGAAGCTCGTCACGTGGGACTGTAATTATGCTACAGCACAAGTATATGATGTATATGAGTCAGTAGTTTACATTGACTCGAGAGCTTACGAGCGTAATCAATCACTCAAATCACTTGGTTTTTGTAAGGGTCGTCAGCGTCCACCAGTGTCAATACAAAATGAGACTTGCATCAAGGTTGTTGGGCCAGCGCATTAAACTGACAACTATCCAACCATCGCCTTCATATCATCGCTTTATTTCATTGCAATCATTTCAAGATTTCGGTCTTGATGCACGTCTTGTTTCCGGTTTGAAGGAGATGAAAATCACCAGAGCTACTGGTATTCAACAGAAATGTATGCCAGCGATTCTAGCGCGTCATAACGTGCTCTGTGCAGCACAAACGGGTACTGGGAAAACATTGGCTTACTTGGTTCCCATTATCGAGCAGTTGCTGCGCAAAGAAGCAGTGAAGCAAAAGCAGCACGAGATCAAACAAGGTCCAAACACTGACATTATTCGAGGACGACCTCGTGTTTTGGTGTTGCTACCCAGTCGAGAATTGGCGCTCCAAGTAGCTTCAGTAGCGAAGCAGTTGTCCCATTCAGCCAAGTTTGCGTCCTGTACTGTCACGAGTGGAGAACGTAAAAGTATCCAGCAGAAAAATACGTCTCGGAGACTTGATCTCATCATTGGTACTCCTGGACGAGTGGCCAAGTGTATCAAGATGCGAGATTTCTTTGTCTCACGAATCGATACAGTAGTGGTTGATGAAGCTGATACGCTATTTGATGCCAAGATGGGATTCCGCAAAGAGTTGGAGGAGATTCTCGGACCGATTCAAGCCAGTGCTGCCAAGCGCAACCAACCACTGCAGATGATTTTAGCGGCCGCGACCGTCCGTTCGCCGATTGATCAAGTGCTTAAGAAGAAATTTGGTGACCTGCGTGTTGTAAGTGACGACAAGATCCACAAGACCCCAAGTACCATTAAGGAAGAGTTTGTCCGTGTTGTTCCCGAGTCCAAGCACTCGGCGTTGCGTGACGTATTGCGTCTGCACAAGCATCAGACAGCAAAAACGGTGATTTTCTGTCGCAACTCAGCAAGCGTCCGCTCTACAGAGCATATGCTACGTGAGCATGGTATCCAAGATACGGCATGTCTGCACGGTGACATGCCGTCGGCAAGACGCCATGATGCTATCCATGCATTCATTGAGAATGCGAATGTAAACATCTTGGTGTGCACGGATCTGGCAGCTCGTGGTCTTGATTTCGACTCGGTAAAGCACGTCGTAATATTTGACTTTCCGAAGACTGCTGTCGACTACGTGCATCGCGCTGGACGAACGGGTAGAGCTGGCGAGCAGGGACTGGTGACAAGTCTTGTGACGAAACACGACCTTGCGCTAGCTACGAGCATCGAAAACTCGAAGCGGAACAATAGCACGATCAAAGAACTGCGTCAAGATATGCCTGTAACCTCACCGGTGACTGTATCCCAACAGACGGTGTCACTAGGCAAGCAAACTCGTCGGGGTCCACTCCAGAAGCGAGGTAGCTTTGGCCGTGGCACGAAGAAGATGCAGAGACACAAGATTCGGACACTACGTTCAAGCCGGCAAAAGTAAGAAGCAAACAACACAGGGCCCAAATAGACAAACAAACGTGAACTCACAACCACAGTCGATGGTAATGGGAAGACCAGTTCATCTATTGCAAGTATCTAACCTTTTTTCGAAGTGTTACGCGCACTCATGCGGCGGTACAGCCTTTCGAGCTCCTGCTTGGCATCACCAGGTGGAAAGTTGGCCAGATCAAAGTAATGAGGCGCAATGTCCACGAGCCACTCGCCCTCAATACGAGTATTCAGACGGATGTAGTTGCGACTCGTAAGCACGAATTCGTTGTAGACAACCCATTCTGGCTCGTTATCCAGGACGCACGATGGATGCAGGTGCACAATCTGGTTGTCCTTCACCGTAACGTAATGTCCGCCGACAGCCTTACGACCAACCTGCATGAAAAAACCGGACACTAGCGCCTTGATGATGTTGGGGTAGTATTGAGGAGAGTGAATGTCCAATGTAGATTGCGTCGGCATTTCCAGTCGTTTCATGTTGCGGATCAGCTGGTCGCGCACATTCGACGCGCTCTGCAGTGACCGATTGTTCAAATAATTCTCGTAGCACCAGTTCGCGTCACCATTATTCAATTTGTATGCATGGAATACGTTCAACAGTGTGAGGTGATCACCGTCCACATGGGCGAAGTTTGCCTTAGCGTCGTTGGCGGCCTTGGCGTCGTTCTTAGGACGAATGAAAGGCTCCTGTACGGACAGCATAGCCACAATAGTAGCCACTTCCTGCGGTACCTGATACTTCGCCGATGAGATCAACATTTTCGCCAACGGCGGGAGAACAGGAAGCATTGCCATCTGACGGCCGAGATCGGTGAGGTCACCCTCATCGCTCAGGGCGCCGAGGTAGTTGAGCATCTCCAGCGCACGCATCAGCGTCTCAGGAGCTGGCGGATCCATGAAATCGAAGTGCACTAGGTCGTCAATACCAAGTTGCTTGAGCGTAAGAACCACACCACTCATCTCCGAGCACAAAATCTCCGGGTATGTCTGCTCCTCCAAGTCACGAAGGAACGATTGCTCAGTGTAGAGACGGAAACACTTACCCGGTTGCGTACGACCAGCACGACCGGAACGCTGCTTCGCTGAAGCACGAGAAATAGGAGACACCAGGAGTGACTCAACCCGAATACGCGGATTGTACACTTTCTGCTTGGAAAAGCCCGGATCAACAACGTACACAATACCGTCAATGGTCAGCGACGTTTCTGCCACATTGGTAGACACAACAATTTTGCGGCCCTTGGGACCGCCTGGAAAACGTGGCTTCGGCGCTTCTTTAAATATGAGTTGTTGTTGCTGCGGTGTAAGTGACGAGTACAGCGGGTAGACATCAAGCGGTCCGTATTTGGACGAGTCCAGGGCATCGGCTTCCGCACGGATCTGACGACAGGCATTTTCAATCTCCTCCTGACCAGTGAGAAAGAGTAGCACGTCACCTTCGTCCTCACAAATATGAATTTGTACTGCTGTACGAACAGCAGCCTCCAGGTAATCACGCTCCGGTTCAGGAGTGTAGAAAATTTCGACGGGAAACGTACGTCCAGGAATAGTGATCAATGGAGCACCTTCAAAGTATTTCTGAAACTTGACAGCATCCAATGTAGCACTCATTACCACAACTTTAAGGTCCGGACGCTTAGGCAGTACTTCTTTTAACAAACCAAAGAGAATGTCAGTGCTCAATGTCCGTTCATGAGCTTCATCAAGTAAAATGGTCGAGTAATTGGACAGCAGTGGGTCACTCATAGCATGTTGCAATAGCATACCATCGGTCAGAAAGCGCAACTTAGTACGTTGACACGTTACGTCCTCAAATCGAATGGTGTAACCCACTTCTTGTCCCAATTGGACATCCATTTCTTCAGCTACACGCTTAGCGATACTCATAGCGGCCACACGACGTGGCTGCGTACATGCGACCATCTTCTGATTGTTGGCATTTAATAGCGTCAGAAATTGTGGAATTTGTGTGGTTTTACCACTTCCCGTCTCTCCTTCAACGACAATAACTTGATGTTGCTTGACGGTGTCTTGAATCTGATGCAGGAATTGATGAACTGGAAGCTTCTGACGTTGAGTTAATAATGTCTGATAACGAGTCGAGAATGGCACACCTGTTAGTGGATTTATACCAGAATGAACAGTAGGAGGTGCATCGGAGAATCTGCTCTTGCGTTTCTTCTTCGTCACATCCAGATCACCAAGATCGACCTTACGCTTACGGTCAGTCATTTGAACAATTTGGTCTGGCGATTGGCTACGGTGCCGTTGGGTTTGTGCAACATATTGAATTACAAAAACAACTCAAGATGTTGCCCGAAGAAATGGGTATCCCAGAAAATGAGCGTTAAATATCCCGCACTCTTTTTATTAAGTAGCCCATCTTCCTAAACTTTTTTACAATATGATTGGCCAGAACTCCAAATGGAAAACATTTTATTTAAATTCACATACATTACTTCTAACGTCACAGTTTTTATCGATTTTGGACTTTTTAATCTAGTGCTTCAACATTTACTGCTGTTGCTGCTATAGAAAACGAGGATGGCCTCTGCATAGAAAAGATAGACTTAGAGTGTTAGATTATATGTGTTGCTTGATCACAGCGCTCGTAGCCGATCTTACTTTGCCTTGTGTCCTTTAATTCTCATACGTTTGTTTCCAGTCGTCAAAACGATCTTGTAGTTGGCCATGTGACTGCTTCCAAGAGTCGTCCCACACACGATTGTTTCACACCATATTACAACCTTCCCGAATCATGGCAGAGTCAGACATCAGTGGTGTGGTGGAGTGGATTCTATAAATTGTATGATGAGACCCCAAACCACTCACTGTGACGGAGTGCCGACTGTCGGAGGGGGTACCCCGATGCCGCGTATGGACCTTCTCTCACCTTGTGATCCGTCGGCTGGCGGTTGCACTCTTAGAAAGACTTGAATGAAGATGTAGATGTGTGTTGAAGTGCATGTTGAAATATGAGTACCCCAGAGACCAGTTGGACTCGGGGTATAAAAAGACCGTGTATTAGGGAGAGGAGACTAGAGAGACATGGCACCTCGAAGGGAAGCAAACGTTGGCGGTGAAAAATTTGTAGGACAACGTAGAAAAGATCACCGGTGAATTGGCACCGAAAGGAGCCAATTACGGTCCCTCATTGAAAAACCCGGTCCAGTACTAGTAGACCTCGACCCCTCGTCGTTCGACCCGGGTTCCCGGGGTTCAGCCACTCCTCACCAGTTAACACAAGGATCAGACCAGTAGACGAAAGGAATCAAAGCTTCAGGCAAGGATAGAGTAAAGGAGTTACAAGGATAGGACTATATTAAATACTACTCAATTTGCGATCTACGTGGCACGACTTCGTCACCCAAGAAGGACTTGTTCTAAGTTACTCACTGTTCCGGGAAGGGATTCATTTTGGCCCCCCGTCGAAGACAGTTCCGTGGTTAAGTTCAAGCGCGAATAGAGCTCCAGGATATATTTGGCCTGTGAGCTCGTTCGAGTAGCAACACCCCCCAAGACCCGCTATCGGAAGCGGTCTCCCTTGCCTACGGTTCGGGAGCAAAGCAAAGACCAGGAGGTTAATACCCATGAGAATACTAAGGAAAAGGCCAGGGATGACAAGCTCCCTGAAGAATTTGTGTAACCGGTCTAGAACGTACTGTCACTAGCTAACTCGCGCGCTTGAAAAAACTCAAGCCCAAGTAACAGGTATTGAGTAAATTTAACTAATTTTTACTTTTGTTTTAATTCGTACTAGTTACGAAGATTTTAGTCGTAATAAATACGACAGTGTTCACGCCTTTCAGGAACCACATATCTTCAGATTAATAAATCATTGGTGCATACTATTTTTTAGGCCCCAATAAAAAAAATTAATAATAAATTGCCACGCTGTGCCCGCTATTCGGTCACAGCGCCTGCCTACATATGTAATTGTTTATTTATTTATCTAAAACTATGTGTGTAATGTAGTTCATTGCATCACCGCCTTCTCAAGACAGCACTCACCAACCGTGAGTACTCAACTGTCGAAACCTTATCGCTCACAAATGGACAAGCATTGTCTGAAAAACAAAACCCAATACTGCAGCACCCTTAAGCACCATCAGCGGGGGGGGGGCAAATACCAGCATCATGGCGCAACAACTCATACCTTGGCCACTGTATGACTTGTCCGGAGCTCACGCTCCGGACTCACTGGACTCGATGCGGGACTACTTCCGGCGATTTCGAAAACTGCGTGGAAAAGGCCTTGATGCAATCGGGTATGAGGCCCTACAATGTTCTTGGTGCGCCTTCATACGACGTTGAAATCGGATGCTCGAGGACGGTAGCAGCTTCCACTACGGCTCGCCAATCGTGAGTAACTTCGCGCCAATCACTCCATCGGCGCGATATGCAAAAGGGTGTGTGAGAATGCTTGAAATAAGGACTGCCTCTGCTTCGTTCATGTCAATGAAGGATGCCAGTCTTGTGACTCGATGCCACGCCCAATTCATGACGAATAGTGACGACACATCGCTGAGTGTTCACTCAGCGAAAGCGAACAAAGTTGGATTGCGAAATATGAGAGAAGTCTGAGCGAACAGGGAAGCGCTGTTATTCATGGTTCGCCTCGCTGACAGCACCATTTGCGACAGTGGAGTCGATCTCCGCTGAATAATCAGCGCAGGGCAGCGACACATTCGCCTGCCCGTCCTGTTGCGCGAGTCTCGCTTCGTAATTGTGATGAAATGTATTCACCACGACGTTTTCGTTCGCGTCATCGTTCTTGTTCTCAACGGCGTGAGTCTCATTACCGCTCTCGTTTGTCACGAGAGCGTTCGCGTTCGCGCTCGCATCGGAATAGCCCGACTACGTGGTTTCGTACGACTGAACCGCATCTGGAACGTCACGAAGGAGTAAGGAACGCGATTACCATGTATCCTGCTCGGGAGGGAATCCAAGCCAACGTACTCAATACCTGCGCGCGGATGTAACCGCGCGCTTCTCATGAGCCGACTGCAGTACTGGTTGAGGAGGGTCCTCGTGACCCACAATGCGGTCTACAATTCAGCGCACCTGTCCCTCCGCATCGACAATCGGAGGAGGGCCCTCGCGATGGTAATCCTGGCGTCCTGGTTGCCCAAGACGATGTTGATCAGGCCGTGAACAAAGCTGCGGATGCTCAGCTGGAGGCTGATGCTACCAGTGAGCGTGTTGCCCAGGCGGAAAATACATGCGAGTGGGAACCGGCAATCGAACCTTGAACTGCTCGAACGGATAAGGGTTCTGGAGCGCTAGGTGCTTGGTCGTGTACAGACGGCATTGCGTCCGCGCCCCATGTCATCGGCGCGTCGAGCACAACGGGAAGGCCGTTCGACTTGCGGACCCCTGAAGCCGGCATCGGAGCCAAGCCGTGAAGCGTAGCCGGACGATATTCCTTTAGCCGCCCGATATAGAACGTCGGGTGGAGCCGCAATGAAGAGGGGACGTCGAGTGTATAATCGTCGCCGATTGCCTTCAGAACCTTTAATGGACCGATAAAGTGTGGCGCGAATTTACTCGCGCCCAGGTTAGTGTCCACTGACTCCCTTAGACCTTCAGTAGATAATAATACACGATCAACTTTCTCAAACTTGATCATGTTCTGTCAGCGTTGTCATTCTGTTGGTCTACCGCAGATTGTAGTGCGTCACGTACAAATCGGGTGATGGATTGACGTTGGAGTATAAACTCCGACACAGCCATGTCATCAATTGGTCGCGTCGACTCGATCGGCGCGTAGTTGTCAGTAGGCGACCGCCTACCCGAAAACGGTTCAATCAATGGCTGCACAGTCCATCGAGCTAATGGGGACGCCACGTCTCGTGGCGTTAAAGCAGCAGTCTTCGCCTTCGATCGGGTCACTACATTCGCGCTCAAAATAGCGTTAGCTGCGCTCTATCCTTGTTTATCACCTTTATCCCCCCCCAGAGTGGAGACACTAAATGTTGTGGGTCGCTCCACGGCCAGAAGAGTAGGAACACGAGGGTGAGGAGCCGAATACAAAAAACGGCGTTAACCCTGTTGACGCGTGTTCGGCGTTGTTGAGTGCGAACTCAGCGAGTGGTAAAAATGCACTCCAACTTGTAAATGACGTAGCATAACTCCGAAGAACATCTTCGAGGACCCGGGTCACGCGCTTGGTTTGCCCATCCATTTTCGGATGGGCCGCAGTTGACATCAACAGATTTGTCCCGAGGAGCTCGAGCAGTGACGTCCAAAATGCGGACGTAAATCGCGGATCACGGTCCGAATCAATGTTTTCAGGCAGGCCATGATGACGGAAAACCGCGTCAATAAAGTTCGCCGCGGTCTCTGCTGCGGTGATCTTAGCGTGAACAGGCACTAGATGTGTCATCTTGCTGAATCTGTCAACAAAAACCAGGATGTCCGTTCGAGCTTGGCTATCGGGCGCGAGCCCGAAGATGAAGTTCATCGAAACTGATTTCCAGGCCTCGGCTGCAATCGGAAACGGTCGCAAGGGAGCCTGCGACGATTAAGATGGCTTCACACGCTGGCAGATTTTGCACGTTAAAATCCAATTGCGTACCCACTTATACATGGGGGACGGAAGAAGTCTCGAGACACAGCCGAGAAAGTCTTTTCGCGGCCTAAATGGCCGCCACTAGGGACGTCGTGATACTCGTGTATGGTTTCTGCACGCAATTCCATGTCGTTGGCGCCACCGTGCGTGGGAGAATATCGAATTGATCGATAATATTCAGAAGCTAATCGCCGTCTAGACTGTATCGATGAATGTGATCGCGCTTGGTTCGGGATAAAGCTCCCAATGCAGCATTTCTGGGAGCACGCAGATACTCGATAATGTCCGCATAATTTGGATCGCATTCGTACGCTATGACGATCTCGTCAAATAAACACAGCTCGGGTGAAACCCGAGTTAGATTCAGCTATACACACATCTCACATCGATCATCATCATCCTCGTCATTAGTCGCCTGAAGACTTAAAGTAGTCCGAGGATCGTATTCGGGGCGTCGTGGCAGAGCGTTAGCGAGAATATTAGTCTTGCCTGGCTTGTAATGTACAATGAAGCTGTACTCAAAGAAGTGTGGTGAAGTGGGATTCGCAAAATTGCTGATGCGAATTCTACTCTCCACTGGCGCCCGGACGACCGACTAACGGGGGGGGGGGTACCCCGATTTCGTGTATAAATTTTTACTCGCCTTTTGTACCCGTCGGTT